CTGGTCTCGTGCCAACCGCAGGGCAAAGGAGCGCGCTACAGGGCAGGGAAGTCTGTTTGACATTGTCCTTGGCGGAGGGGGAGAAAGGAGGCAGCATGGAGGGGACCCATCACCCCAGCAAGTGAAGGGTCCCGTCCTGACGGAGGGCAAAGCGATCGGATGGGAGGCCGAGAAAAGTGGTGAGGTAGAGAACATGATGCTGCCACGCGCTGAAACTTCGAGCGCGGAAGATGACGCAGCGGTTGTGCCTGTCGAGGACTTCAGCAACGACGAGAAACTGAAATTCGAAAAAGAACTCCTGGGATTCTATGTCAGCGAACATCCGGTTGGCGTGCTTCTCGATCGGCTTCCGAAATGGTTCCAGCCTCTGAGACTGAGTGACTGGGACGAAGTCAGCGACGGAAGTTTGGTTACAGTGGTGGTGGTGTTATCGGAGGTGAAAGAGAAGATGACGAAAACAGGAAAGCGTATGGCAATTCTGCAGGTGGAGGATTGCACAGGCAGGATGGATGCTGTGGTATTCCCAAACGTTTTTGAGAGATGTGGCACATTGTTGGCAGAGGATGCACGGGTGCTTATATGGGGTACACTCGATAGGCGAGGAGGCGGGGGCGGAGAGGGAGATGCAAACGCGGCGATAATGGTGAAAGGGGTGGTTGAAGCAGAAAAGGCAGAAGTACTGTGCATTTACCTGACAGTGGAGGATGCTTCGGACCTGGCGAATCAGCAACAGATTAGGTATCTGTTGACAAACGAGAAACGGCACCATGGGGGAAGTGGGGGTTGGGGTGGAGTTGGCTTGGAGAAGGCGGGCGGGGGGGGAGGATGGGGACGGGACACACTCCCGACAACACCAGTTGTGGCAATTATTGTAGAGCAACCGCCAAGCAATGCTTGGATGGCAGAAGAAGCGTATCAGGGCAACGGTGTGGCAAGACGTGGGGTGCAACAACGAAGGCAGGAGAGACATCATCAGGAGGACAAGGGTGAGAGAGAGTTGGCAGAATTAGGCAAGATGTGGGTGTCAGAGTTCAACGTCCATGCGGAGGATTCAATGGTCGTTAGGTTTGGTGTGAATTTCAACGTGCGCGATGCTCTGCAGGCAGCAGAGCGTCTGGGAAGAGCAGGCTTCACTGCTGCCGTCTTCCCCTTGTTCAGAGATGGAGAGTGTGGCCGTTTGCCAGCTGCCAGAAGTGACGACCGGGATGAGACTGTGTATGCTGGCCCTGGATTCCCCTCTGAATCAGGTGTAACTGGGGTTCGAACTGGTGGTGATTCCCGAAACGCAACGGTAGGGCAGGGTGAATGGACATGGCAGCCAGTTAGACGGCAATTAGAACAACAACCGCGGCAGCCGTCCTCCGTTTTCTAATTTTTTTTTTTTTCCTTCTTTTTTCTTTTTCTCTCTGAGCTTTTGTTCGCTTTGTCCTCCCCTGAAAGGCGCTGTAGATTTTGACACCGGTGGCCGTGTCGGACTCGTAGGGTCGTAGGCAGGTAGTTAAATTTTCATGCAACAGCTTTAGCGCCTGCTCCCACTGCGACTATTCTGTGGTAAGCTAGCTAGCAGGAAGAGTGTCTCACAGTTCCAGCTCGTCGGCAGTGATGGTTTCGACACTTCTGCTGTGGCTCAGTAGTGAGTTAGCAATGACTGTCGCTATTCTGTGGCAGGCTAGCACAGAAAATTGGAGACGACAAAAGAGTACCTAATTTCGCTATCTTACTACAGAATAGTGGCAGTGGGGCCAGGATCTTAGGTTGAACTGGTGTTTGTACGCTCTCTCACTCACATTCCTCCGCTTTCTAAAGAGACAACTAGTGTGTGTATAGTACTGTATACCCTCTTATGTTGTTACCTTCTGTAGACTACAACTACCATGTTTCCTTCTATAGACTAACTATACTCGACATTTTCCTTCTATAGACTGTCCTACATTGCCTTCTATGGATTAACTCCCGTGTTTCCTTCTATAGACTAACTATACTCGACATTTCCGTTCTGTAGACTGTGTCCTACATTTTTGCCTTCTATAGGCCAAGTCCGACATCCAACCGGGAAGCAGGTTTGGGGTAACCTGATTGAGAACCGTTTTGTGAGTGAGTGCCCGCTTTTAGGACCTTTTTATGTTGAAGATGGTTGACCATCTGATTGCTGCAATTCTTTTTCTTGCAGTTGTTGTTGTTGAGCGCTGCTATGCTTGAGCGGCAATTAGGAAAGATTGTACTTATTAGAGGGTATAGGGGAATTCGACGGCAGGATTGGTGTGTTGCTGTAACCCCGTTGATTGAGGTGCTATAGCTTCCACGGCAAGGCTCGTGACAACCCAAGCTGGCTTTGCTTTCTGGTGATAGTCTCCTTGTCTGCTGTAGTTCTTTAAGTCTGCCAGGGATTTCAGTATGGCCTTTTTTTTGCATACTGATTTTGGATAAGATGAAGAGATGAGAAGCCTGGGGATGGTGATGTCAGATAGAGTTGACCCGAATCCACCTGTAGTGCAGGGACTGCCAGCTGCACCGGGGCTTTTCCCCTGTGACGTTGGGATGGTAATTTATGAACTTTGGATCCGAGAGGTAATTCTGATGGGTTGACCGATGGATTTTGACGTTAACAATTCGGAGTAATTTGAGGCTCAAGCTGTGGCGAGGACAGTGGTCCGTTCCAGAGAAAGATTGGGCGACCTGGTCTGCACACCAAGAACACAGGTTAAGAGTCGAATGGAGGAGGAGAAAGGAGGGGGAATGTCAGAGCGGGGTTGAGAGAGTTAGAGGGGGGGGGGGGGGGGGGGGGAGAAAGCTTGGTCAGTCAGTGGAGAGGCTGAAGCTTTGATGACGTGATGATGATGATGTCAATGCTGTCGCTTTGGCATTTTCTAAAATTTAGACGGCCCATTGTAATGTAGAAGTTGACAGATCATTTCGGCTGACAATCTGTGCTGCTCTGCACACCAGCTGAACCAGGGGAGTGTAAGAGAGAGAGAGAGAGAGAGAGAGAGAGAGAGAGAGAGAGAGAGAGAGAGAGA